AAATGTGTTATGAGGAGTTACTAAGGATCTGCTGGCCTTGTGTACATAGCTGGTTGCTGCCTCCTTCTTAGGACACTTACTGTAAATACTGTACATCATAAGATAGAATTAAAAACACAGTAGGTCAAGGGATGACTTGGCATTCATTGTGTCTTGTTTTTCAATAAATTATAAAGTTGATAAAGGAGCTTTGTCTTATCTTTTTATCCTTGTTCATTGATTAACAAATACTTATTGTTCTCTCTGTGCCAGGCACCTTCTGAGCTAGAGGTATAGTTATGAACAAGAGAAAGACTCTGTTTTGTGAAGTTACGAAATGGAGATTGACAATGAACAGGGATTTTTTTTTTCCTCCCTGTGGTGTGGGGAGTGGGACTCAGTGACTTGGGAATGCTAGACAAGTCCTATATGCTTGAGCTATGTTCCCAGCCCTACAGACAGGAGCACGAATGAGGGCTGATTGGTGTCCTCTTGATAATTATGTCTGTGTAAAACTTTAAAATGTAACCTTATTTGAAAATAGCGTCTTTGCAAATGTAATTGACTAAATTATCTTGAATTTAGGATGAATCCTAAATTTGCTGACAGAACAGCAAAGGGTCCAGAGGACATGTAAAGATAAAGCCAGATACCAAATATTCCAGCCTTAAAACAAGGCAGGTCTGGAGCTATCTTCTAGGAGTGGCAGGAAGATCCCTCCTTGAGCCTCCAGGGAGCAAAGAGAATGGTTCCTGTGGTTCTGAGCTACCAATTTGTGGTAATTTGTTGGGGCAGCTCTAGGGAATGAGGCAGTTTCAGTTAGTAAGTGCTGTGTAGGAAAAGTGAGAGTGGCAGTCTGGGTTGGGGAAGGGTATAGCTTGGAAGACAGGGAAGATATGACTTGGGAGTGACATTTGAATAGAAATCTAAAAAAAACAAAGTGTCTGCTATCTGACCAGTTCTGAGGAGGCTAGAGAAAGTGCAGAGCCCCCAGAAAGATTAGAACAGTGGGAGGAGATGAGGTCACAGGGCTGTGACTCCCCATTGTGTCTCCAGATGACACATTTGGATGGACAAGCTAAGGAACAAGCAGTTGGCTCCTGTAACTGTTCACCAGTGAGCTGGCTAAGCCTCTGGGTGCACTACCAGACACTGTAGCTGGTGAGCATCAAAGTGAGGAGGGATGGCTGGGCAGCACCTGATGTTAGCTGCTTAGGGCCAAACTGGTCCAGGTACTCAACCGCCATCTCCTGAAGGGGACCTGTGAAGGCATTAAATGCAAGAGTAGAGTTGTTACCTTCTTTGAGTTAGCTCATAGATATGTTTGCAACCAATCATACAAAGACCCGTTTCTCATCCTCGCCTTTTCTCAGATTTAAGTGAGAATTGTGGAAGGAATTGAAGTGTGTGTACCTTATTTGTTACTTATTAAGTAATGACATAGTTTTTATTGGGGGAAATATTGAAACTGGAGAAATTTTGCAAGATTTGTTTTACTTAAAACATAACCAGAGCTTAAATAATCTGCAGTTGGGGCTGGAGAGATGGCTCAGAGGTTAAGAGCACTGACTATTCTTGCAGAATACCCAGGTTCAATTTCCCAACACCCACATGGCAGCTAACAACTGTCCATAACGCCAGTTCCAGGGGAATCCAGTGCCCTCTTCTGACCTCCTCCAGCATTGTATGACATGGGTGCACTTACATATATGCAGGTAATATATTCATACACATAAAGTAAAAAAAAAAT